GAGATATACATCCAAGAAGCCGTGCTGCATAGCACATTTGATTCGGTTAATGTTGTGCGCTTTTTCAATGCCTGGATTGAACGTGTGCCCCGGAACTTTGCGGAGACGCTTGGCATTCTTCATCGTGATGACACCATGGACAACATCTCAGCGGAAACGCTGGAGAGTTTTCACGAAACACCTTTTACGGAATCTGCCTCCAGTGATGCCTGTTATACCGTGCTGTTTATTCAAACGGAGTGGTTTGAGCGCGGCACTCTGGCAGACCACTTTGTTAGGAGAAAAGGGTTTACTCGTTTGGAGAATTTAAAACATCTTCTTCAAATTTCTGAGGGACTTCAGTATCTTCACTCGCAGTGCGTGGTGCACTGTGATCTCAAGCCGAGAAATATTTTTATGTCTGACTCTGGGATTATGAAAATTGGGGATTTTGGGCTTTCGAGAAAAAATCGTAAGCGGCCCCATAAATTGCGCGGGGATGCCGAAGGGTTTGCATCCAACTCGGAAGCAGGTGACGAGGGACACGCCATTGCCGCCTTTACTCCACTTTACTGCAGTCCGGAACAGAAACGTGGGGATGCCGCAACCACCGCGAGCGATATTTACTCTTTGGGGTTGATCGCTCTTGAGTTTTACTGTGTTTTCACCACGCAGCATGAGAGGTTTTGCACACTGGGCGAAGCACGCCAAGGTGTATTTCCAAAAGAGTTTGCGGATACGTATCCGGTGGAGAGGGCCCTCTTTCAGAAAATGTTGTCGGAGGACGAGAGTTGTCGTCCATTGATGAAGGATATCGTTAAAGCCCTGCGACAGGGAATTAAGGAGGAGGAGGAGGAGGAGGTGATGGATGGGTTGATCATGCGGTCTAAGACGCTTAGCCCAATTGACGAGTACGGATCCTCAAATCCCGCGTCTCCACTGGAAAAATTCAAAGAGAAGGGAAAATTAACACGGGTCGCTCCAAAATTTACCAGATTATCTTTGAGCTCGCTGGAATCCACAGAGTTTACTCAAAACACATGACGCGCAAACAATTAAAAAAAAAAGAAAAAAAGAAAAAAAAGGAGGGGATACATATATATATATATATGGTTACATGTACATACATATATATATGTGGATATATAGATATACACATACAGGTAAGGACAATGTAAACGCCGGGTGTCGATTATGCATAAAATATATTTATATATATATATATATTTATATATTTGGGTTGCTGCTTTATACGGACACTGAGGCTTATTGCTACGACAACAAAAACAAAAACAAAAGAGAACAAAAGAAAAAAGAAAATGAAAAAAAAAGAAGAAAAAAAAAAAAAAAAGTGACACGTACCAAAACTGAAAGAAAAAAAAAGTTTGAAAAAAAAAAAAAAAATGCAAAGCAAAAATGATAACAAGAGGAATGAGTACATGTGCATGTTTTGATGGACACCAATGGAAGGTATATTATATATATATATATATATATATATACCGGGCTTCCATTACCTGTGAATTTGTTTATTTATTCCGCCTCTTTTTTTTTTTTTTTTTTTTTTTTTTTGACTTGTGTGGCTCACGCAAATTCACTTTTCTTCCATTTTTTTTTTTTTTCACGTAGGCCGTCACAGCCACTCACGAAGGAGAAAAAAGAAAAAAAAAATTTTTATGTATATCTTGACAGAGGTCTTTTTCTTCTTTTTCTTTTCCGGTTGTTGCTTTTTTTTTCCGTTTTTTCTTTTGTTGTTTGTTTGTGTGTGTGTGTGTGTGTTGAATGGAGGAGCGAATTTGTATGAATTTCAAAGATCTCTGCGTCCAATGTGTCAAATTGGCCTCCACGCCGTACACCCCATTGACAGGATTTCAATTGCAGAGTAAAGTGGGGATTTATTTGTCGGTTGCAGCTGTTGGCATTGGTATCGATGAACTGCGATGATTCTGTTTGGTGCATTTGGCGTGTGGTGTCACAACGATGACAAGGATTTGGAAAGGAGGCATTCAAGTTTATTTTGCTCTTTTTTTTGGGTATGTGGAGAGGAGGAGGAGGAGTGGGCGAAGAAAAAAAAAAAAATTTAAGGAAAGAACGAGTGTAAATCTTGGTAAACATATTTGTTTATTTTTCTGCTCTTTTTTTTTTTTTTTTTTTTTTTTTTTAGCGTGCGTATTGTTTTTTGTTTGTTGTTTCTTTGTTTCTTCTTTTACTCTGTGGGTTTTCCTCCACTCCTTTGGGGACGCAGATGGAACAGTGGAAAAAAGGGAAACCTGATCTTTGTTGTGATTGCATCCAATTCTTTTTTTTTTTTTTTCTGTTTGTTTGTTTCTTTTTCTTTCTGTGTCTGTGTGTGTGTGTCTGGGCGTCATGCTTGTGTGTTTCATTTTGTTGTTTTGCCTCATTTTGTTTTCTTTTTTTTTTTTTCGTTTTTTTTCTTTTTTGTGCCTCCCCACCTCCTCGTCGCCCACACTTTGCGTTGGATCCCCGGCGTGCCATTTTATCGACGGTTTGTTGTTGTTTTTTTTTTTTTTTTGTTGTCGTTGGAGGGGGATGTGAGCGGGCGCAATGAGAAGAGGACAAACGGCAGATGAGTGGGGTGGGAGGAAAGAAGGGCAGCTCGAGTGTGTTGTGCGCCGAACGGTGCGGCCGGTAAAAAAGAAAAAAAAAAGAAAAACTGAAATAAATAAATAAAAGATGTCGGGTGCTTTGAGAGGAGAACACGGCCTTGGGGAAAAAAGGAGAAAAAAAAAGAAGGAAGTGAGTGGATGAATCGGGTGGGATCGGCACGCAATAAACAAAAGAAGGAGAGATACGTGTGTGCAATACATTTTTATTACAGGAGTTATTTGTCCCCCATTTCTCATTATTGTTTTATTATTATTATTATTGTGGTTGCCGTGATGTGTTTTTTCTTTTTTTTCTCCGTGCTTAACGTGAGGCCAGTTGGTGCTTGCTGCTGTTTATTTATTTATTTGGTGGATTTTTTTTTTTTTCTTTTTTTTTGCTTTGCCATTTCTTTTACTTCAAAGGGATTGTTTTTAAAGAAAAAGAAAGGGGACTGGTGGAATCGCTTCTCGTTATTTTTATTTGTGATGCACAGTGGTGGGGTGCAGAAGGCGGCGGCAGGAGCACCGCAGCTGCCGCCGACCGCCGCCTTTTGGGAGGAGATGGAGATGCAGAAAAAAGAATCGCAGGAGCTTCAGGCGAAAATTGAGGCATTCTGCAGTCTTTTTTGTCCGGAGCAAATGCATCTGGCGCCGTTTTTATCCATTGAGTTTTGCGGTCGTGAGGAAGAGCTTGAAGGAATATTGAGTGCCATGTACGGTCACTCACTCTCGAAGATGCTTCGCGCGAGAGGCGATGAGGAGAAAGAGAAGGGTGCGCACTCAACTGGTGGTGCGGTGACCGATTCAGATAACGATTTTATGGCGCAGGCCGTGGCTCTTTCATCTTTTTTTGGTCTTGGCCGTCATTTTGTGCCGGCAGTGTATGCGCAGACGAAGCGTACGAGGAATCGAAGAAGAATGTCGTGGGGAGCGTGGCTGCCAAAGGATGAAGAGGAGTGGAGCGCAGTGGAAGGCGTAGGAAAAGAAGAGGAGCGTCAAATAAAACAAACCGTTCTGTTTGAGGTGATTGCTGCCCTTTTCCCTGACTTTTTGTGCACTGTTTTGGAGGAGGGCGAACAGCGTACTGCCTTTGTGGCTAAACGGCTAGCCGCCTTTTTATCGTTTCATGAACCTGAGAGTGACGTGAAAAAATATCTTGTGTCGCACGGCGGACGCACACATTTTGGCAGGAGTTTCCGTAACGTCTTTATGAAGCACTATTTCTCTTTTCTTAAAGAGTGCTCGGGAACAAATCTGTCTCTTGATGACCTTGACGAAGTGGGTTCTCTCTCTTCCAGTTCTGTTGTGACAATCGAATCTGCGGGTGGTGGTGAAGACACAACGAGTCGACGCCGTAAGACGAAGGCGGTATTGCGTGAGTGGACTACAGCATACGGGTTGCGTGCGCACTCCACTCCAATGCCCTCTAGATCGTGTCCTGAGCTTCATAACGTGGCGGTTGACACGGAGGAGCTAAGTGCGATGGAGCGAATGAGGGCAATTAAGTTGCGATTGAGCCGCGCGGAAATGGGAACGATGACACAGTCGCAGCCACCAGCATTTGGCTTTGATGGCACCAAACCTGCAACGCGTCGTTTCTACGGCACGGGAGCACCATTTTGGGGTGGTGCTCACAATGAGATACATGCGGCCGCAGCTCGATGGAAACAGAATTGGTTTCAGAATCCAGAAGAGCACATCTTGCCAAATTCTTCTATTGTCTTGGAGACCAACAGCTGCCAAAAATGTCTCTTTTTAGAGGCACAACTAGCGGAGACCAAAGCGGCCTTTCAACGTGCCTCCAGGAAGTTTGTTGCAAATGAGGAGCAGCAGTATTATAACGAGGCCTCATGCTATGCGAAGCAGAAGGAAATTCTTTATCCCTTTGATGTATCTGAGGTGGATGGCTCTTCCTCAAAAAAATTTATGCCGCAACATTTGGTTCAACCGTCTCATGGGTGTCTCATGTGTCAAGATTTGCGGCAACGCATTAAAAGTCTTGAGCAAAGGCTGCGCGAAAGCTATGATAATTGTCGTGAACTCATTGTCAAGTTGCGCCGCATCCAACTCCCACCACCGCCTCATATGTGTGTAATTTCTTCTTCTGTTAACGAGGTGAAGAAAAGGGATGTTTCCACAATGACAGAACTGACCGGGCAACAGTTAGATGAGTGTATTGGGTACATGATCCTGGAATCTTTGTAGGAGTGTCAGCCTATAATATTATTATTTTTCTTTGGTGTCCTTTTTTTTTTTTTTTTTTTTTTTTTTTTTTTTTGGGATGCGATAGAGCTTTTTAAATCCTTTTGTTGTTGTTATTGTGGACCACATTTATTCATTTTTTTCTTCTTTTGCCCCCACGTTGATACGGCTGTTTTTTTCTTATTTTGTAGTCGTTGAGATTGAAAGGAAAAGGGGTATAAATAAACATCGAAAAGGAGTGTCCTCCGTGCCTCTCTATTTATTTCTCTCTCCCTCCATCTCTCTCTGCGTATGTGGCTGTCGATCCCTCCCTCACTGTCTGTCTAACTTTTTGCCGCTGGCATGATGCGTCATTTGTTATTTGCTGCTCGCCAGTTATTGTTTTGATTTGTTTTCCGCAGCCCCCACTTCAGCCTTTTCTTTTTTTTCTGTTTTGCGGTGTTATGCATCGCGGTCAGTTGCAAACTGATCGGTGCGGCCCCACACGTTTCCCCACCAAGGCACAGGCACCGAAACGAAGGGGAGAAGTGGGCAAAGAAATTGAGAAATGAGTCGTAAAGAGCAGGAAAGTGTGACGACGACGGTTTACGCCGTGCGTTTAGTGCACGCTTTGGTGCTTTGGTTGGCGGTGGTATTCTTTGGGATATCTGTGGTGTTCCTTAAACGTCGTCTGCCGCGGGCTACTCCGATTTCTTTTTACTTCTGCTGTCTGTTGGGCATCGGCGGTGTTTTCGTCTCCGCCCTCTATCAGCTGGCCGGTCCCCGGTCTGCGCGCGGTGGTGGAGGTATTTTTTGGGTGACTTGGGCGGGTCTTCTCTGCTGGCTTTTGCTCTTGATGCGCTCTGTGCGTCACGCAAATCTCCCAGACGTATTGTTTGTCTTCCTGTTGCTTGCGCTTGTGGGTATGGAGTGCACCGGAATAGTACTGCAGTTTATCTCCACTCGTTCTCGAATTGCGGACATTCTCATGGATGCTTTTATTGCGGTGCCGCACATGCTTGCCTTTGTTACGCTTGTGGGGTGGGATTGGCTGATGGTGAATGACATTGCCCTCGTGTTTCGCGAAAACACCCCAATGGAAGGAGGCAGATACGAGGGAAATAATAAGGATGATGATGATGATGATGGCGGCCTTGGCCATGCCCATGACAAAAAGCCCCATGCGTTTTTTTTGCTTCCTCCTAGTCAAGATATTTTCATACAGAGCTCGGCCGCGTCCTCTTCGTTTGGTGAGAGTTTGCGCTTTGATGGGCACACGTCCATCATCCGAACCATCGTGCGTCACTGGGGTTCGACGTATTTCCTCCTCGCACTCGTGCGTCTCTTGTATGATTTTGGTGGACTTCTTCCGGCGTATCTTCTTCGTCAATTGGTGGACAATCTTATGCAGGCGAAAACAAGTGGAAAGAAAGGGAAGGATGGAGGAGCGGACATCCACATGTCTATTATCAGTGTTCTGCTTATTGTTATAATTACCCTGACCTGCACGTTTCTTCGTGTGCATTACAACATGAAACTACAGAAGATGTCGCTTTACAACCGAAATCTTCTAACCATCGAACTTTTTCACAGCGCAATCAGATGTCGTCGACACCGATTAGGAAACCAGAGAGAAGGGGAAATTATGAATTACCTTTCCGTGGATGTACAACGTGTTGCCGATGCTGTGCAAACAATAAATGATCTCTGGGCCCTGCCACTTCAACTAGCATTTGCCCTTTATTTATTGTATGTTCAGGTATCTTTTGCTTTTGTCGCCGGGGTGGTTGTCACAATTATACTCATTCCTGTAAATATGCAGCTGGCCAAGCGCATTAAACACGTACAGACCAGTCTTATGCGTGAGAATGATGAACGTGTACTGACTATCACAGAGATTATGAACAATATTTTATGCGTGAAAATGTGCGGTTTGTCACATATCGTGCAGCGATGGGTGGAGATGCCACGATCACGATACATGAAACTTCTTTCTTGGCTTAAGTTTCTGGACGCCTTCTGTGTCTTTTTCTGGGCTGTCACACCCACACTTGTGTCACTTCTTACTTTCATCACGTTTATCTGGATGGGAGGAAAACTAACGCCTGGCAAAGCCGTCACCGCCTTGGCACTTTTTGGTTCCCTCATCCTCCCATTAAATGCGTATCCCTGGGTGATCAATGGCTTTGTGGAGGCGTATGTTTCTTGGCAGCGTTTAAAGCCTTTTTTTTCCAGTTCAAAAGATCAGGGCTGTTTTTTTGATGGAACCACATGGGTTATACCTGGTGCCGGCGACGAATTGGTGTTAGGTGACGTGAGGGAAAACATAATACATACAAATTTACTGGAAGAGGGACAGAAAAGTCTACAAATGCCGGGGGAAAATCAACCCCTTTTGCAGGCAACGAATCAACTCATGTGTGGTGTGCATCCCGTGGAACAGCATCAGTTAAATAGCCCCAAACAACGGCAAGAGATTAGCTCGGATGTTTTGGTCGACATTCAACAAGGGGTTTTGATTTTAGCGGCATCCAGTGGAGATGATGTTTTGGAGCAGTTGTTTACGTTGCGTATTTCAAGGTTTCAGGCGTTGTGTGGTCAATTGATTGCAGTTGTGGGACACTCTGGATCGGGAAAAAGTGCATTTTTAAGTAGTCTGGCTGGGGAACTTCTTATGACACCAACGTTTTCACTTACCGTTGCACGGAGTTCCATGGCGTTTGTAGAGCAGGCACCTTTTTTAATGGCGGGGACAATACGTGAGAATATTCTTTTTGGGCTCGCATTTGATTCCGCAAGATACGAGTCAGTGATTAGGGCGGTGGCTCTTGACGAGGATCTCCGTCATAACTTTGCCCCAGATTTGGATCGTACATTTGTGGGTGATCGTGGTAGAAAACTGAGTGGTGGTCAAAAAGTACGTGTGGCATTGGCCCGCGCTTTGTATGCTAATAAGGATTTGTATCTTGTGGATGACTTTATGGGTTGCCTTGACACGACGGTGGCTCACCACATTGTTCAAGAGGTTTTTGTAACTGCAGCACAGCAAGGGAAGTGTGTCATTGTTGTGACTCATAATGAGGAACTTATACATTACGCGGATGCCGTGTATGAGTGCGCAGGTGGATGGC